CCAAGAAAAGAAGATACAACAAACAAACAATTAGAAACAAAAAAAGGGTGACATTGAACATGTATGTAGCTAATAAAAATCACAATATTTGAATTTATCACACAATAAATATTTATATACACTTTATTTAACATACAGTCAGCGTCGAAAATAAGAGACATCAGGGCCCAGCAAAATTTTGGAGTCATAAATGAGTCTTTAAGGAGTCCTATTTCGGAGCCTTTACGCGCATAATGAGCTCATTTAAAAGTCCGATATGAGAGTGTTAAAATTCATACATCAAATGAGCCTCAATATGAGTCATATTGGGCTCTTATTGGCCTCACATACGGCTCATTTTGGACGCTTTTAAACAACGATTTTTAGTCCAGTAAATTGAATTAATGCATTTGTGGAAGTTTATTATTTTCTTCCATACAAAACAGATTTTCGAACATAGTAACTTCGTATAGAGCAAATGCATGCCACGCATTTTTACATATAAAGACTCAAAAATCACCGCGAAATATGGTGACTTATATACATACATATCGTCGATTAAAGTACAAAACCGCGTATCGTCATTCTGCAAAACCGCGTAACTGACATTTGCTGCCAAAAATTGGATTTGCTCACACAAGCTCTTGGCTCAATCCTTATCCATTCGTCCTGAAATATACTAGCCAGATATGCGATTGCTTTATAAAAAAGCGAACCATTTTGAAATATAAGTGTTTTCACTCTCTAGAAAATAATTGATGCAACCTCACTTACGCGGTTATGCATTATCTTGATACGCGGGTTTGCATTTTGTTGATACGCGGTTTTGTACCTTAAACGACGATGTATGTATATATATTGTGCTAACAACACGTCTCTATTTTCTACTAAATGTGTCTTAACATCTGTCAAATTTCTGTTTTAACTTTGTTCCGTTTTCTAATGTGGGCAACTTGCTGTCTCAACATATCACTTTCAAAATAGCATCAAGCCAATCAGTTCGATCTGTTTCTAATGTAGATCAAGGACGTGAACCGGATGAAAAATTTCGTCGGTTCGGTTCAACGGTTCGAAAAACAAAAAAATAACGCGCAATGTTAAGGGTCAAGTGTCTGTCAAACGAGATGGGTTGCCTTTACATTTGATATTAGGTGCGTTCGTTTAAAATCTCCAACAGAAACCAACCAACTGCCAAATTCCGGCGAAATGTCATCTGTTCGCTCACAAGAGAGAAATATCCAAAATAGTACGCGAACAGAAAATTTGCAGAAACTTGCAAGTTAGACGAACAGCTGATATAATTTTTGTTTACATACAAAAGTGTAAAATTTAAAACGTACGAAAAGCCATCACAAAGTGTTATACTGACACAGTTTATTGATTAAACAAATAACTACTTATTTCTTACAAGTTTAATTAGTCGCATTTTGTAATTTTTATCTTCCAAACCATCAAATTAAATTTTGTGATTTGCGTAAATGCCAACCAGCTGTTTTTGATCAGCTGTTTCCCTGTTGGCAAATTGCTGTTGGCAAAAATTTTTCCAACAGAAACTAACAGCTTCCCCTCAAAATGAAATGTCACTTTGCTCTCTCAATTTCCCCTACTTTGCAAGTTTTTTGCGTACGCGAACGCAAAAACCTGTAAGTTTTGGTTAAACATGAACAATTAACAGCTACGCGAACGAACCTATTGTCACATGGTAAACAAACATGTTAGGTATTACCATGAAAAAAGTGGGTACATTTATCTATTGAAAATTGGTTGAAACGAACCTTTAAACCTTTATAAAAAAAAGACCAAACGGTTTCTTAATTTTATGTAACTATCATTTTAAAGAATGTGACTGGTGGGATACTGAAAATAAATTTATTTTACCCTTGTACACTCAAGGATGAATTTTAGCCAATACACTTAATTTTCACGAACGATGTTTTTGTGTTGTAAAATATGAATTAAACGCTTTCTTTTTCAATAAAAATTAGGTTTATATCGAGCCCTAACCGCCAAAATAACGTAAGCGAAATTTTTTTTTAATTTTCTTATTGATGCAGAAATGTATCTAGATGCTCTAGCAATATTTCTGCATCAAAAAGAAAATTTTGAAAAAAATGTCCCTTACGTTATTTTGGCGGTTAGGGCTGGATATAATCTTCATAGAAACATTAACAAATATTTACAGTTGTGACTGGTGGGTGGACTTCTCCTTACTTTAAATTATGCATGAAATAAAAGTTTCCATAGACAAAAATTGCAACTTCTTTTTATTTATTTTTCACCAGATTAATGAAATGTAGTAATTTAAAAAGAGTAGTAGTCTGGATTAGAGATAATTAGGGCATATTTCAATTTATGTCGTTCTTCTCTTTTTACATGGAATGTCCCAAAACCAATGTTTTTCATAAATTTAGATATCTTTCTAAAATTTAATTTAAAAAAGTTGTTTGTTTATTAACATTTTAGTTCTCGGTCTTGGTTGTTGACAATTATGTGGAAATGCTCATATCTTATTTGAAAATGTGTCCAAATTTATGCAGAGGCATAGAAGCAGTGTCGCTCAAAATTATACACACGAGTTTATTGTGTGTGAGTGTGTATGTATGTACAAAAACGAATCGGTTTAGATGTATCAATTTGGATACATTTTATGTATGTATTTACTTATGTACATATATCATATATTACCCACCATGCAAAACATGAGAAATAGGCAACAATCGTCAACGGCA